TGGTAGAGCACTCGCCTTGAGCTGAAGAGCTGAGGGACAGCGCCCAGGCCCAGAGTTCAAGCCCCACGACCGACCAAAAAAAAAAAGAAGTTGTGCCTTCTTTTTTTTGTCAGTCATATAGCTTGAACTCTGGGCCTGGGTGCTGTCCCTAAGCTCTTCAGCTTAAGGCAAGCACTCTTGCATTTGAGCCACTTCCAGTTTTCAGGTGGTTAATTGGAGATAAGAGTCTCAAAGACTTTCCTTCCCAGGCTGGCTTTGAACTGTGATCCTCAGATCTCAGCCTCCTGAATTGCTAAGACGTGAGCCACTGGTGCCTGGCAGAACCTGTGCCTTCTGAAGTCATTAATTAATTACCTCCACAATAGAGTTCATTTGATCATTAACATTATTAACATCTTTGTTAAAATGACAAAATCCATGAACTTCACAAAAACCTTTTTTTTGGGGCGGGGGAGAAGAGGTGGAAAGGGAGGTAGAAACTTCCCTCCCTTTTCCTTATTTATGCAGCACTTTTTTGCAGTGCATGCTGGTACTGGCCTGCTTGAATTCAGGGCCTGGACACTGTCACTGAGCTTTTTCCACTCAAGGCAGGAACTCTACTACTTTTAGCCACAGCCCCAATTCTAGGTTTTCACTGGTTAATTGGAGATAAAAGTAAAGGAGGGCCTTAGTTTAAGCCCTAGTACCAGCACAAAAAGAGAAAAAGAGAGAAAAAGAAGAGACAAAGGATGGTAAAGGCACATTTTTGGAAACAATTAAGAGACATTTCTGCTAATCTTACCCAGTCTGTGGTGAATGGGGCACCATTTGCCATCAATGTTCTTACTTCGTCATCTTGGCCTTTTCTTGCTGCTTCTAACAACCTCTTCCCCAAGTCCACCAAAGACATCTTTATGCATAGGAACAAAAGGTTTTGGGTGGCTAAAATTCAAACAAAAGGAAATAAGTCTATAAAATGTTTTTAGAAGACTTCTTATAATAAATGCATGTGTACATGATACATCTCAAGTAGACTGTCTCGGGTCCAGGAAAGTGGCTTAATGGTAGAGTGCTTACCTAGCATGCAAGAAGCCCTGGGTTCAATTTGTCAGCACCACATAAACAGAAAAAGCCAGAAGTGGTGCTGTGGCTTAAGTGGTAGAGTGATAGTCTTGAGCAAACAAAGCTAAGGGACAGTACCCAGGCCCTGAGTCCAAGACTCAGGACTGGCAGGCATGCAGGCACAGACACACACATCAAGCAGACTGTCTGGTAGTCCCTTTTTTTTTTTGGTCGGTCATGGGGCTTGAACTCTGGGCTTGGGCACTGTCCCTATGCTCTTCAGCTCAAGGCGAGCACTCTACCGCTTGAGCCACAGTGCGACTTCCAGTTTTCAAGTGGTTTATTTAAGATAAGAGTCTCATGGACTTTCCTGCCCAGGCTGGCTTTGAACCAAGATGCTCAGATCTCAGCCTCCTGAGTAGCTAGGATTACAGGCGTGAGCCACCAGCACCTGGTGGTAGTCCCTTCTTTTCTATCTCAACTAATACAAACCAGATATTTGGGCAAAGTTTTGGACTCTAAACAATAGTTCCCTCACTTTTAATCTCTAGACCATTACTATACACACACACACACACACACACACACACACACACACACACGACACAGTACAACCTTCCTAATATAAAGAATCCATAAAACAGCCGGGCGCCGGTGGCTCATGCCTGTAATCCTAGCTACTCAGGAGACTGAGATCTGAGAATCGCGGTTCAAAGCCAGCCCGGGCAAGAAAGACCGTGAGACTCCTATCTCCAATAAACCACCAGAAAAAAACAGAAGTGGCGCTGTAGCTCAAGTGGTAGAGCGCTAACCTTGAGCTGAAGAGCTGAGGGACAGCGCCCAGGCCCAGAGTTCAAGCCCCATGACCAAGAACAACAACAACAAAAAGAATCCATAAAACAGAATTTCATTCCATTGAAATGACTCATGGAGAATAGGAGTTTAGAAAACACACTGCAGGGCTGGGAAGGTGGCTCAATGGTAGAGCGCTTGCCTTGCATGCATGAGGCCCTGGGTTCGATTCCTCAGCACTATATAAGCCGGAAGTGGCACTCTGGCTCAAGTGGTAGAGCGCTAGCCTTGAGCTAAAGAGCTGAGGGACAGTATCCAGGCCCAGAGTACAGCCCCATGACCAAGAAGAAAACAAAACAAAAAACACACACTGCAGGGCTGGGAATGTGGCTTTGTGGTAGAATGCTTGCCTAGCATGCATGAAGCCCTGAGTTTGATTCCTCAGTACCACATAAACAGAAAAAGCCAGAAATGGGCTGGGAAGGTGGCTCAGTGGTAGAGTGCTTGCCTTGCATGCCAGAAGCCCTGGGTTTGATTCCTCAGCACCACATAAGCAAAAAGAAAAAAGCTGAAAGTGGTGTTGTGGCTCAAGTGGTGCTGAAAGTGGTGTTGTGGCTCAAGTGGTAGAGCGCTAGCCTTGAGCTGAAGAGCTGAAGGACAGTGCCCAGGCCCAGAGTTCAGGCCCCATGACCGGACCCCTACCCCCCAAAAAAAGAAAAAGCCAGAAGTGTTGTTATGGCTTAAGTGGTAGAGTGCTAGCTTTGAACTGAACTGCTCAGGGACAGCGCCCAGGTCCCGAGTTCAAGCCCCAAGAGTGACAAAAAAAAAAACAAACGAAAACCCAGAGTGCAAAGTAATAAAACATTCATCCTGGTTCTAAGCAGGATGCAAAAAGGATGCCCATGGTGAAGCTTTTTTTTTTTTTTTTTGTCGGTCGTGGGGCTTGAACTCTGGGCTTGGGAATGGTGAAGCTTTTACTTGATGAAAATTATTAGATTCCTTATTAGCAAATGATTTATTGCCAGTCCCGAGATTTGAATTGGGCCTGGGCTTTGTCCCTGAGCTTTCGTGTTCAAGGCTAGCATTCTACCAACTGAGCCATAGCTCTACTTCTGGCTTTTTTAGTGTTTAATTGGAAATGAGACCCTCATGGACTTTCCTACCCAGGCTGGCTTCAAACTTGATCCTCAGATCTCAGCCTTCTGAGTAGCTAGGATTAAGGCGTAAACCATGGGAGCCTAGCTTACTTTTTCCCCCTCCTGTTCCAGGGATCCAACCAGGACCTCTCATCTGTTAGGCAAACGCTCTCTGAGGTATACTCTTGCCCCTCATTTTTCTTTCTGGAGGTGTATAGGTCTTTAGATGCCACAATGGAATAGGATACATCAAGGGTTCTAAATTAAGTTTTATCTATTCATCTTTTTTTTTTTTTTTTTTTGGTCATGGGGCCTGAACTCTGGGCCTGGGTGCTATCCCTTAGCTCTTTGGCTCAAGGCTAGCACTCTACCACTTGAGCCACAACACCACTTCCAGGTTTTTCTGCTTATGTGGTGCTGAGGAATCGAACCCAGGGCCTCATGCATGCAAAGCAAGCATTCTACCACTGAGCCACCTTCCAGCCCCCATCTTTTTTTTTTTTAATATAACCGTGATATAATAAGGACCACAATGTATAGAGGGCAAATTCCTAGTAGTTAAATACTCATCTGCTTAAGCTAGCAGTTAAAATCTGGTTCATGGACCAATTCACAGTTTTTCAGGGATCCATAGGCCAAAACATCTGCCTTTTTCACTGTTAAGATTGCTTGTGTTTTAGCAGAAATCAAGTTGTGAAACAAACTTATTGTATTCTTTTTTCCTTCATTTTTGGAAATGTTTTTATTTACTTGTCTTCTATTTATTTTTCTACTTATGTTTTTATTTTTATTTTTTATTGTGCAAATACCGTACAGAGGGGTTACAATTACATGGGCAAGATAATGAGTACATTTCTTATCAAGCATTGTAGCCTCCTCCTTTATTTCCCCTTCCCATCCCTTCCCATCCTCCCCCTTGCCCCCCACTTATTGTATTCTTTACTGGTATGTTCTTTGAGAAAGAGGGGCTGGGAGGCCAATTCTACTTCAGAATATCCTGGACGCAATAGTAAACATTACTAACTTTATTGATTTTTTTTGGGGGGGGTTGGGGGGTTGGGGGCCTGAACTCTGGGCCTGGGCGCTTGTCCCTCAGCTCTTCACCCCAAGGCTAGGGCTCTACCACTTGAGCCACAGCGCCACTTCTGCCTTTTTTTTTTTCTGCTTATGTGGTGCTGAGGAATTGAACCCAGGGCCTCATGCATGCAAAGCAAGCACTCTACCACTGAGCCACCTTCCCAGCCCTTTATTAAATTAACATCCAAATGAGTGTTTTTAATTCCTGTAACAGAAAGGGAAATAACATATAAAGCACTTCTGTATGCCGAAATACAACAGGTTTCTTGGGAAACAGGATTGTGCAATTAAGTTGCAAACTGAAGTAACTGCTTTTATTACTTAGCACCATTAGTATTTTTTATTTTATTTTTATTTATTCAATTTTGTTGGTCATGGGGATTGAACTCTGGGCTTGGGTGCTCTCCCTGCACTCTTTAGCTCAAGGCGAGCTCTCTACCACTTGAGCCACTTCTGGTTTTCTAGTGGTTTATTGGAGATAAGAGTCTCATGGATTTTCCTCAGCCTCCTGAGTAGCTAGGATTACAGGCATGAACCACTGGCACTGGGTTATTAGTATTATTTTTAATGCTGGTCCTGGGGCTAGAAGTCAGGGTCTGGGCACTGTATCTGAGCTTTTGTGCTATAGACTAGAGCTCTATCACTTGAGCCATAGCTCCTCTTCTGGATCTTTTGGTGCTTACTTGGAGATAGACTCACAGGTTTTCCTGCCTGGGCTTGCTTCAAACTGTGAACCTTAGATCTCAGCCTCCTCAGTAGCTAGGATTACAGGTGTGCACCAATGGTACCCGGCATTAACACCATTTTTTGGGGGGCGGTCCGGTTGTGGGGCCTGAACTCTGGGCCTGGGTTCTGTCCCTCAGCTCTTCAGCTCAAGGCTAGCGCTCTACCACTTGATCCACAGCGCCACTTCCGGCTTTTTTCTTTTTGCTTATGTGGTGCTGAGGAATCGAACCCAGGGCCTCGTGCATGCAAGGCAAGCGCTCTACCACTGAGCCACCTTCCCAGCCCATCCGTGGGACTCTTATCTCCAATTAACCACCAGAAAACTGGAAGTGGCGCTGTGGCTCACGTGGCAGAGCACTTGCCTTGCGCTGAAGAGCTGAGGGACAGTGCCCAGGCCCAGAGTTCAAGCCCTACCACCGACAAAAAGAAAAGAAAAAAAGAAAACAGAAAACAAGTAAAGAAACTAAGAAACTGAGATCTGAAGCTCCCAGTTCAAAGCCAGGCAGGAAAGTATGAGATGGTGCCCACACCCTGAGTTCAAGCCTCAGTAACAGCCAAAAAAAAAACAAAAAAAAAAAAACATGCTCCTGTGGGAAACTAAGATCTGGAGGACAGTGGTTTGAAGCCAATACATGCAGAAAGGTTCACTCAAGCTATGGGTTGAGGGGGAAGCTGAACTCCGTGGCATGTGCCTGTGATCTCAGAAACAATGGGAAGCCTAAAGTAGATACAATTTTGGTTTAAGCCCATTTCCAGGCAGGAAATATAAACCTATCTCAAATACAGTCAGGAAAAAACAAGGACTAGAGATTGTGGTTCAAGTAGTAGAATGCCAGCCCTGAGCAACAACAAGGCCCTGAGTCTAAACCTCAGTACTGCCCAAAACAAAAAGACACCAAACCCAGTGCAGCAGCTCATATCTGTAATCCCAACTACCCAGGAGGTAGAAATCAGGACTTCAAGGGCAGCTCAGGCAAAGAGTTACTGAGACCCTTACCTCTTTCAGTCTTTGAGACTACCTATTTCTACAAATAAGCAGGGTGTGGTAGCCTGTACCTATGATTCTAGCTACAACTACATGAGAAGCATATGTAGGAGGAGCATGAGCTGAGGCTAGCTCGCAAAATACAAGACACATCTGAAAAATAT